GTGTGTGTGTGTGTGTGTGTGTGTGTGTGTGTGTGTGAGAGATGCATGTACACCAGCACTTGGCACAGTATCTCCAGCAGGCATGAGTGTTTGAGCAAATTCACTGTGCATGCATGTCTACTAACTAGTCTGATGATGAGCAGCCGGATCGCATGCCCAGCACAAGTCGCCAGCACGGAGCCCATGGATGTATTGTGTGTCTCTGAAGCTGACTGTGTTGTTTGCTGGATGTCAGTTGCAGATACCCCGACTCCTCCCCCTCCCCCTCCCCCTGATGACATGCCCATGTTTGACGAGGCTCCGCCTCCGCCGCCACCGCCTCCACCAGTCGACTATGAAGATGAAGAGGCAGCTGTAGTACAGTACAGTGACCCTTATGCAGATGGAGACCCTCACTGGGCCCCCAAGTCCTACGTTGAGAAAGGTGAGGTTCTTTTTAACTACTGAAATTTTAATTAATAAAAGTAAAGTAATTGATATCATATTTTTATCGATGATATTTTTATATTTATTGTTTTATTTTTATTTGGTGTTGTTGCTCTATTTAACATTGTTTATATATTTATTTTATTTATTAACATTTATTTACACACATGCACGTTTGTATACGTATATTTTTAAAACTTTATTTAATAACATGTAACTTTGTTTGTATCGCTTATCATTATTTTTATATTTATTTTATTACCCTTTACACACATGTACACACTATTTTATTTCTTAACATAACTATTTATATTATAGTTTTATTGATGTTGTTAATTTTTGTTATGTATTAACATTTGTATATTTGACATTTTATTATTAACATGGAACTTCATATTAAATATATTATTTTTACTATTTACCATTAACATCATTTTAAATGTATAATTATTATTATGACATTTATTTTATTTATCAACATATATGTATTGAAATAATTATGTAATTTATATGATATAAATTGTATATTATATATTTGAATTATTAGTACTATGAACCATTATTAGTTTATGTATTAGCATGTTTTTTTAATTATTTATATATTTTTTATTTTTATAATTAAGATTTTTGATTAGTTATTAACATATGGTACTTCTTATATTAATAATACATATATCAATAAAAATATAATAGTTACATGCTATTAAAAAATGGCATAATAATAATAATAATAATAAAGAACTTTATTGAACATTAGTGTCTTTCATCATATTGTTGTTGCCTAAGAACACCCTTAATGTAGCACACAGTCTGAAGTGGCTTATCGTTTTAATAACTGATATTTCCCATGACTTTCATTCATCTTTGCAGTGGTTGCCATCTACGACTACACCAAGGATAAGGGTGATGAACTGACCTTCATGGAAGGAGCCATCATCTACATCATCAAGAAGAATGACGACGGCTGGTTCGAGGGCGTTTGCAACGGCTTCACTGGTCTGTTTCC